GGTTCTCAACCTAAGACCATCCTGCATATCAGATATTTACATTACGATTCATAACAGTAGCAACATTACAGTTATGAAATAGCAATGAAAATAATTTTATGGTTGGGTCACAACATGAGGAACAGTATTTAAAGGGCCAGAAGGTTGAGAACCACTGCCTTAGAGTATAAATAAGGTAGCACTGCATCCTAAAGATGTAAATGAGCCGTCAGTGAGAAAATATCTTTTGACCTGCCCTTTTAGTACACTGCTTTCAAAATTTCCTCTAGTCTGACCTTTAAAAAAAATGTTTTTTAATTCTGCCTCTTCATTTTTCATCATTGTGAAGGGGAGAGCAGATGGCTGTCATCTTTTCTTTAATAATCTCTCCCTCTTCCCCACTCTCATCTAAGTTTAAATATAATTGCTGCTGTAGAAGTTTTGAAAGTCCTGAGCACCTAAGGGAATTGCTGTGGGAATGTGCCAAACTGTTGACATTGGACTTGAGTCTGTGAAGTGCGGAAGGGCTAAATAGGGTGGTTTTTCCTTTTTCTTTTAAGTTGAGGAAGATGGAACCTAAAAAACATTATGTATTTTATTACAAACCTCGTAATCAGATTAACATGCTTTTACTTTTCTATTGAAATTTGTCTCTTCAAATGAATATTGAGAATGCTGTTGAATTTTAAAAATAAATTTTTAAATTTATTTTTTATTCAAACTTTGTTAATTATCAAAAGTGAATATACCAAAGCATTTATATCAACTAAGATTGATTAGGCAACTTCATGCTTACAGAAATTCTTTACCAAAAATTCTCTAAGAATAAAAATAAACATCCTTTGGTCTAACAATTTCCCTTCTGAGAATTTACCCTTTTCAAGTAATGAAGATAAAAAAACAAAAAGCAAAACTATTTGTGTTATTATTTCTAACTAGAGGCCCGGTGCACAAAAATTTGTGCACGAGGGAGGGAGGGGAGAGGGGTGTCCCTCAGCCCGGCCTGTGCCCTCTCGCAGTCTGGGACCCCTCGGGAGATAACGACCTGCTGGCTTAGGCCTGCTCCCGGTGGCAGAGGGCATGCCCAATCCCTAGGTGCAGCCCCTGGTCAGGCTCAGAGCAGGGCTGATTGGGGAGTTGG